ATTGGTGTATATATATATATATATATATATATATATATATATATATATATATATATATACAAAGAATAATCACACATAGAATTAATCAGAAGTATCAATGCGATTATTGACGACATCCATCGCTAGAAAACATAATATATGCATTAAAATCTTGTTCATCCATAGTGCGAGTTTTGATCCTTGAAGAAAAACTTGTTGTCTGTAGTTTTTCAGTTTATTTGATGTTAAAATGCTAGTACTTACGGACAGTCTTCCATCCATCATCAGGCATGTGTTTTTTTTCCTTATAAAATCAAAAACTTGAGACGATATACCTGTATGTCGACCGAAAAAAAAAAAAAATTACTACTATGACATTACACTATATTATTGAACTATATACTTAGTTCATGACATAAAAACTGAATACACTTGTAAAAATAGAATACGTGGATTTAACACATCACAAGAAATATTTAAATAAAATTCTCACTTAAAAATTTTGAATAACTTAGCGTTGCGTCTTTGCACGTTCCGATATCTTACAACCGTCAATAATAGCAGATATTCAAAAAACATCTTTCGGTCGACATAAAACTCGCACTATGGATGAACAGGATTTTAATGCATATATTATGTTTTCTAGCGATGGATGTCGTCAATAATCGCATTGATACTTCTGATTAATTCTATGTGTGATTATTATTTGTATGTAAATCATATGTTGCCTAATGTTTTTATATATATATATATATATATATATATATATATATATATATATTGTACCTTGTATAATATAACCGTGTGTCTCCAAGGTATTATGAATATTTTTTAATAGGGCCGGATGCACTCAGTGGAAACGGGGTGAGCAGAAACTGAGCTGTAATACATGAGAACTAAACGAGATCTCGTGAGACATGAACACCACAATATGAACAATCTACCGCCATAGATTAAATAAAGTGTTCAATTCGAAATTCACTGCTGGTTATCCGGATCGATATGCATATATTCTTTAAATATAAATATATACTGAAAATTTGACTAACATTGTTTGCTTATTCTGACACAATCAATCTATCTATCTATCTGAGCTTGTTCGTTTTCTTTCTTTCTTTCTTTCTTTCTTTCTTTCTTTCTTTCATTTTTTCTTTCTTTCTAAGCCTGTTTGTTTTCTATCTATCTATCTAGCTAGCTAGCTATGTAAGTTTTTTTTGTATCTATTTATCTGTGTATCTGTTTTTTCATCGCTCTAATACCCAGAAAATAAACCGTTTGTTCATTTTCTACATATCTAGCAATTGGTTTGTTCATTTACTATCTATCTGTTGTGGCCTGTTTAGGGGCCAGAAAGAAAGACACGGAAGACGAAGGTAGGTTGAAAAAAGTATATTGAAGATATATACAAAACAATAGGGTTAGTAATAAGTAGATTAGCACTGCATCTACTACTCCACTTCACTTCATACTCTACGCTCCCGTCCGACTCTCCCAGCTTGTATTTATGAGAGAAGGAAGAGTTCATTATACTGTAAGAGGGTTTGCCATAACACTATCTCAGTTTGTTTATTATCTATCTCTATCTATTAATCACTTTGTGCATTATCTATCTATCTATCTATCTATCTATCTATCTATCTGTTTGTTCATTATCTATATATCTAGCAATCGGTTTATTCATTTACTATCTATCTATCTATCTATCTATCTATCTATCTATCAGTTAGTTTATTATCTATCTCTATCTATCAATTACTTTGTTCATTATCTATCTATCTATCTATCTTTTTGTTCATTATCTATATATCTAGCAATCGGCTTGTTCATTTACTATCTATCTATCTATCTATCTATCTATCTATCTATCTATCTATCTCAATGTATAGGCGTCTAGTCGAGTGGTTAAAATGTGAATGTTCTGACCATGAGACTCGAGATCGAATTTCACCATGGTCGATTTGTCTAGGAGGTGATGACTTTATATTATCTGGGTGGGAAGACAATTCCAACGTGCGGCCTCGTAAGTAAATGCCTAAAACCCATATCATGGTTTAACTCCAAAATACCAACCCAAATAAGTAGACGAAATTGTTCGGAAGCTGTCGATGGTCGTGCTAGCACAAATTTACAAGTCATCGTGACCGAGGTTCTGTGCTTATTGGCTTTGATCCCTTCTAATTAAGCACCTTCATTCAGTATGGTTATAGATTAGACAAAAGATTGGCACTGCGTGTGTTGAAAAAACAAAATGTACCAAAGCAGGAAGACTACGACAGGGATTAGTTAAATAACATAGCATTAAGTGTCTTTAATAATTTGCCCCCAAACAGCATAGCATGATGAAAAAAGGCCTCAAACTTAATAAAAATAAATTTTTATAGTCAAAATGTTAATGTTATTATTAAGAGGGAAAACCGAAGAATTTTTTTAATTATTTTAAAATTTTTTAAAATCCTTTTTAGCACATTCAAAATTTTGGTTAAAAATCACGTTTTTTTTTTTATTTTCTTTTTTTACTTCAGCGGCCACGTAATATTTGTCAGATTTTAATGAAACTTTCAGAACTTATTCTCAGATTAATATGATTATTTTAGAAATGTTTGTTTTCTAGAAAGTCATGGTAAAAATATTTTTCATATCAGTTACCTCCCTCTTAATTTTATGAACACACGAATATTCGACTTTGTGTAATTTAGTCCTTATATTAGTTAAAAGCAGAAGACTTTGAAGAATATAAATCATCGACTTTTTTGTAAATCGAAATGCGTAGCTCCCCAAAATTCAGCTCTAAACTGTAAAATGCAAAACCCAATAAAACTAAGACATTATTTAATTATAAAATCTTTTAATGGCTTTTATGAATAATATATAAGAAAAGTACTGTCTGAAGCCAATATATTTTTCGATGAAAAATGAATTTTTACAAAAATTTTCTTTTTTTTTTCAATTTGAAATACAAAATGTGATAAAGTTATTAAATATTTTAAAATGAGTCTGAATAAGTTTCTTTTTGGAAATTCTCTTATTAAAAAGATATATTTTACAGATCATAAACTTGAAAGCTTATTACAATCTGTGATACGAATGTATTTTTAAAATACTTTTTAATACGCAAAAAAAAAAAAAAAAAAAAAAATGTATTAAAGCATTTTCTCCCAAACTATGGAAGCACGGTTCAGAAATAATAGGTAGCGTGTTTTAAGAGTTGTTTCTCCTGATATGCGAGGATCAGGCCTAAGAAATTACTTTGCTTCTCTTCTGTCAAGAACGTATTAAATTATCTGACTGACCATCATCATCGCATTTTTTAAATTTTAAATTTTCTTTTTTACATCCCATTTCACTAAATATTTTAATTTCATTTTTTAAATATAATTAATTTATTGTTTTTCAGTGAGAGGCATACTGCAATTATTAATTATTTTCTTTTTTAGATTCTATTTTAGGGACGGAAGCAGTGCAGGCTTTGGACATATCTTCGTTAAAAAGTACCTAAAGAATCAATAAAATATTGGACATTTGAAAGTATTTAATTTTTCAAAATGACTGTATAGTTAAATAAGCTGGTTCACTTAAAATTAGAAAATACTATCACTTTCGTCCTTCCGTCCGATAAACTGCCCTGGCGTTAGCTACCGCTACATTGCGTAAACGTCAATTCACAACTCCAAAACAATTCACCACGGTTGGACATGCTTCTAATATTTTCAACTAAAATTGTTTCTGCTAAAAAATTAAGTAATGTTTGTTTCCAATTACATTAAGCAAACTTTAAATTTTCTAATTTTCCTCAAATAACTTTTGAAAAAGGTATAATTGAGTTTTACAAGATTTTTAAACGGAGAATTTTACTTTTGTTTACAAAGTTGTCAAAAGTGGCAATTTGTTGATTAAAAAAAACAAAATTTTTAACTAAAATTTCGGACGTGCTAAGAAGGATTAAAAAATGTAAAAAATGATAAAATAATATTTTGGTCTTGCCTATTAATAATAACATAAGCATTTAGACGATAAAAAATTGTTTATCAAGTTTGGGACCTTTTTTTCATCAGGCTGTGCTCTTTTTTAGCGAATTAGTGAAGATACCTACATAGCATACAGATGTACTAGTGAAGTGAGCAGATTGATTGCGTATAATTTCAATCTCAATCTAATCGAGAGGAAGCTATTTTTAATTGCAAAAAACAAAAAAAAAAGTAGATGAAAACAATAATTTAAAAACAAAAATAAAATCGAAATATAAAAACGCTACCTTCTGGAAAATTCTTGGCTAATAAAAAAATAAGATGAAAAGAGTATGAAAAGCGGCAAGTGAAAAAGGTGAAAATCATTTTGTCCGCCAATTCTTTAGTCTGTTGACCTCAGTGACCTTTGTTTGAAGAATAAAAGCAAAGATTAAATTGAGAAATGTGGATGGTGTTTGGGTTGTACAAATGCGATAAAAGATGAACAGACGTCAAAAGAAAAAAAATTCCGAGGGTGTGGGAAAATAAAGAAAGTGAGAGATAGCGTGTAAGTGCACGCTTGAGTGTGCTGACAGAGAGAGAGAGAGAGAGAGAGAGAGAGAGAGAGAGAGAGAGAGAGAGAGAGAAACGGTGAAAGGGAAAGAAAATTTTTCTTCCACTTCCAACATTTTCCCAGCTCTCCTGTCTGTTAACACACAGACGCATTGACGATATACCAACGAATATTCGTGAAAATATAGAATTATTTAGTCAATCGCGATATATATATATATATATATATATATTATATATATTATATATATATATATATATATATATAATCGACTCTCCCGTCGAGATTCGACGTATGAGGGTCAAGCAGATCAGTTTCCAGGAAACCGACAGATCGACACCGGCACATGAGATTTGATTATAGCGGTGAAGGTTTCGTGCAGGACCATCCACACTTTTTGAAGGGACGAATACAGAGACCTGGTGCACCGAATGCCACAAGGTTCCCAAACGACCCTCCGCAGGTTTTGAATTCAGAGTTGTCCTTCTCCTAGACCAGTTGCCATCCAAGGCTATAGAACCTAGTCTGTCCTGCTATTTTACCCATAGCTGGAGGGAGAGGAAGAGGATTCATACCTTTCCCAAGGGTATTAGCACTTAAGTGAATGTAATGGATTCGACTGGAATTCGAACTCGGCTCTGCGATTCCTCAATCCTAGCCGCTATCCATTACTCCTCCTCATATATATATTATTCATATGCAGCTGTTTATGTACTGCGTATATATGATTTAAATGTAAAATATGAATCCTCATGTAAGGTACCTCCACTGATTCGCTAAACAAATGTGCATACGATGATGAAAAAATGTCCCAAACTTAATAAAAACAAAGTTTTATCGTTAACATCTTTATGTTATTATTAAGAAGAAAAAAGATTATTTTCTATTATTAAATTATATTTTGTTTAAAAATCTTGTTTTTCTCGCATCAGCGGGGGAATCAAAGATTAGTACAGGAAATTTTAGCTTCTTTTTACAGTGAAACACACACTGATTTGGAAATTCTTGCAAAAGTTATGTCATTGCCAGAACGAAAACTTCAGAAATTATTAACAAATGAATGAAATTAATTTAGAAACCTTTCATTTTTTTTTCTTTTAGAAATTCTTAATAAAAAAGTTTATATCTGTTACATCCCAACTTATTTAATTTTATGAAATTTCCAGAAATTAATTTTTGTACCACTTAATGTTTATATTAGTTATATGCAGAAGTACTTGGAAAATTTAAATACTCAATATTTTTTGTAAAACAGGACCCCCAGTTATGGAAAATCTGCTCTGAATCGTAAAATAAAAAATACCATAAAACTAAGACATTATTTAATTCAGTTATGTGCTATGCGTGATTTACGCTTAGGCGATCATATATCTTTCAATACATGAATGACAAGGCAATTTTTTCCCGCAGTTGGTCGCCATTTATTTCTGTGGTAGACCATTTGCCATCTAAGGTTATAGAACCCAGTCTGTCCTTCTATTTACCCATATCTGGAGGGAGAAGAGGGTTCATGCCTTTCCCAAGGGTATTAGCACGTAAGTGATTGTAATGGATTCGACTGGAATTCGAACTCGGCCCTCCGATTCCTCAATCCAAGCCGCTATCCATTACTGCACCGTTATGAATAGAATATACTATGGACACTATTGTCTTAAGAAATTTTTTTCGATGAATAATGAATTTTTACAAGAATTGTTTTCAGTTTCTTAAAATGTTAATTAGAATAATTTATAAAGTTTTAAATCTTTTAAAATTCTGTATTAATTTGTATCGTTTAAGTGATATCATTATTAAGTAAAAACTATATTTATTAATCATAAAAGGAAAAGCGTACTACAATTCATCGACTCTCAATATTTTAAAAAGAATTTTGAATTTATTTGGTGTGCGTATAAACGTGGCGATACAATTTCCTATACTAATCTTTGGTACCCCGCTGACGCATGAAAAACAAAATTTTTAGACAAAATTCCAAATGGTCTAAAAAGGATAAAAATATAATTTAATAATTCAAAAATGATTTTAACGATAAAACTTAAGTTTGAGGCATTTATTCATTATAGTATGCTAATTTTTTAGCGAATGGATGGAGGTACTTATATATATATAATTAGAAGAATCTATTTCATCTCTCAAAGTGCAGCCCGCAATTCGATTATATTCCCCGAAAGACCATTCTATTAAAAGGAAGTTTAACAAACTTTCGTCATTTTGATATAAATTGCAAACGCAATCAATTTTCCATTATTATTCTTGATCTTGACATGATCCTTACTAAGTTTTCAAGGCGCCACATTGTCTGACTTGCTTTACCCGATCTTGTAATTTGAACATTGGAGACGATCTGTGACCCGGTTGGATTCTGTTTTACTAATT